CTGTAAGCCTCCAAGCCCGAAGTCAGGTTCCAGGCTTGTCTGTGGTGGTATGGTGTAAGTCACGGCCGTACAATTCACCCATTTCAAGTGGATGAAGCAAATAAACCTTTGGGTTTATTGCATTCGTTTTTAAAAATTGTGTTAAAATATATATAACATGAAATGTCCCATTTTCACCATTAAAAAAAATTTTTTTTATTAACTTATAATGTATTATTTGCCCCAGGGGTACAGGTCTGTGATTCATCAGTCTTACATAATTCACAGCACTCACCATAGCACATACCCTCCCCAATGTCCATCCATTTTCACCATTTTTAAGTGTGCAATTCAGTGGCAGTAATTACATTCCCAATTTGCACAACCATGCTCCCTATTCCCAAAACGTTCTCATCACTTCAAGTGTGTCCCCTGAAGGATAATGCCAATTTTCCTCTCCCCCAGCCCTGGCAACCACAATTTAATATACGTCTCTATGGATTTGTCCATTATGGATGTCTCACGGAACTGGAATCATGCACTAGGTGGGCCACTGGGACCGGCTTGTGTCTTTGAGTGTAATGTTTTTAAGGTTGACCCGTGTTGTAGGATATAGCTGTACTCTGTTCTTTTTCATGACTGGGTAATATTCCATTGTGTGACTGTGCCCAGTTCATTTATCCATTTGTCCCCTGATGGACATTTGGGTTGTTTCCAGCTTTTGGCCTTTGTGAATATTGGCATACAAGTATCCGTTTGAATCCCTGCTCTCGTTTTTGGAGGGAATATTTGTACCTAGGAGGGAAATTGCTGGGTCATAGGATAATTCAATGTTTAGCTCTTTGAGGAGCCATCATACCGTTTTCCACAGAGACTACCTGATTTTCCCATCCCCTCCAGCAGTGTGCAAGGATCCCAGTTTCTCCACATCCTTGCCAAAACCTCTTTTTTTCCCTTTTAAAAAAATCATCGCCATCATGGTAGGTGTGAAGCAGCATCTCACTTTTTGTGTTTTTTCTTAATTTTCAAGTTGTGGTAATTTGCCGTCTGAACCATGTTCAGCTCCATCAGTGGTATTAAGTGCTTTCCCACGGGTGTACGCCCCCCACCACGTCCAGAACTCTCTTCATCTTGCTACAGTGGAGCTCTGCATCTGTTAAACTCTAACCTTCCGTTGTCTCCCCCGCCAGCCCCAGGCAGCCATCATTCTACTTGCTGTCCGATGACTTATAGATGGGATCATACCGAGTTTGCCTTTTCGTGACTAGCTTCTTTCACTGAGCCTGACACCCTACAGTTTTGCCCATGCTGTAGCCTGTGTTGGGATTTCCTTCCTTTTTTCTTTTTTAAAGATTTTATTTATTTATTTGACACAGAGAGAGAGATCACAAGTAGGCAGAGAGGCAGGCAGAGCGAGAGAGGGAAGCAGGTTCCCCGCTGAGCAGAGAGCCCGATGCAGGGCTTGATCCCAGGACCCTGACACCATGACCTGAGCCGAAGGCAGAGGCTTTACCCACTGAGCCACCCAGGCACCCTGGGATTTCCTTCCTTTTTAAGGCCGAATGATATTCCCTTCTATACATAGAGCACCTTCTGTTTCTGTGTTCATCTGTGGTTAGACGTGTGTTCCTCCCATGTCTTAGATACCGTAGATAATGTTGGTACAAACATGGGTGTACAGATATCTGCTTTGAATTCTTCTGGGTGTATACGCCAAGGTAGAATTGCGAGATCATGGGGTAAATCTGTTCTTTTTTTTTTTTTGGAACCGACAGTGTGCGGGGGTCCCATTTCTCCACATCCTTTCTCATTCTTCTTTCCTGGGGTTTTGTTTGTTTGTTTGCTTGTTTTGTTTGTTTTGTTTTTTTGGTTTCGGCTTCTATTTGCCATCCTGTATGGATATGAGCTGTATCTCACTGTGGTTTTGATGTACGTCTCCCTCAGGACTCGTGGTTGTCATCAGCTTCTTGTGTCCTCCTGCACCATTGGTCCAACTCCCCAGGATTTGTGATCACTGCTGACCCTGGAGGGACTCAGTGCCACAGCCACCTGCCTCCGAGGGCCTGTTTCCACCCGTCCTTCGGCCTCTGCCTATGCTAATTGGCTATGCCACAGCCTCAACCCATGGGCCAGCGGGGTCTCCTCTTCTCTGACAAAGAGGTTACCCATGGACTTCTCCAGTCTGTGAGCAACGCCTTCCCAGAACGCCATGTTCAGTGGGCCGGGGACACAAGCACTACATCAGTCACGGTCTTGCCGGAAAATGGGTGGCACCCTCAAAATTGGGTTATCTTTTAATTTGTTATTTTTTAGATTTTACTAATTTATTTGACAGACAGAGATCACAAGTAGGCATAGAGGGAGGGAGAGAGAGAGGGGGAAGCAGGCTCCTTGCTGAGCAGAGAGCCCGATGCGGGTCTCGATCCCAGCACCCTGGGATCATAACCTGAGCCGAGGGCAGAGGCTTTTAACCCACTGAGCCACCCAGGCGCCCCTCAGTATTGGGTTATTGTGTTGAATTTAAATGAAGGGAACTTTACAAAGGTGTGGGCAGAGTTTAGGAAAAACACACAAGGCTGGTGAGGTGCCCAGGGCTCTAGTCACAGGAGCTTCTCATGGCGCTTGCGGGGAGGCAGGTTCCCCCGTGAGGCTGGGGGAGGGGGTGTCGCGGTCCCACGTCAGGGTCTCAGGATGGCGGCCCGCGGGCCAAGCGGCACACGCACACGAGTCCCCGGGGCGCAGCGGGTCGGGGCTGGCTTGGTCACAACCCTCTGGGCGGCAGCGGGACCCAGGGACACTAGTCAGAGCCTCCCCTCCCGGCTGGGAGCTGGGGCGAGCTGACCCTCTGTGGCAGCCCTCAGTGTGGAGGAGAAGGGAAGGGCTCAGGCAGGCAACGCGGAGGCCGCGCTGCTGCTGCTGCTGCTGCTGCTCAGCTCCCGGCCCGGTTTGCTGTCAGAGTAGGAGACGTGGCAGCAGGTGGGAGTAGCCGTGACCTCGGCGGGGCTCCGAGCCTCACCCGCGCTTGCCTCTGCGACTGGGGGAGCTGTCCCTGCCTTTCCAGAAGATTCCTCTTACACTCCACTGGGCCCGTTTACTTTTGCAACAGACCCAAAGAGCCAGAGACTTCCAGCTCTTTCTGCTCTGGAAGAGTCCCTGAGGCAAGGAAAATACAGTTGGCTGGGCTACCTGCTTGGAATGAGCAAAGGAAAAAAGAGAAAAACCGCAGCAAATGTAAATGACCCTGACGTGGACCCTAACTTTGGATCCTCACACTCGCAGCCAAGGTGGACACTCGGCTGGGACCCCCCTCCGGGGGGTGGGGGCGCACACAGCGGGGGATGTCGAAAAGCTTCAGACCTGGTGGCTCTCAACTTTCCTGGAAATGTGGCTCCCTCGGCTCTGCCCTAGAGACGGGGTCCCTCTGGAAGCCTGCCCCGCCCGTGGCCATTGTCCCCACGGGTCAGAGCCCCTGCTTCCCGCCCCTGGAAGCATTTGGAACATCTCCATGCCGAGCACACACAGACCAAGACGAAGCCTCCAGGCCGCTGGATCAGGACAGTGACCCTGTGCCGCTCGCTCTGGCAGGCCTTTCCCGGGGTGACGCAGGCCTGGGGAGCACAGTGCCCAGAAGCCTCGGGAGGAGACCCCTCTGGCCACCCCTAGCTTCCCCGACAAACCGGCTCAGGGCTGAAGCCCAGACCACCTTCCAGAACCACAGCGCTCTCCTTGCCCTGCCTGGACAATGGGACTCACCACGTCACATTTCTGTCGTTTCGGTGTGTGACTCTGTCACTAGGCTCCGGGCCTCATGAGGACAGGGGCGCCGTGTGCTCTGCGCACGGGAGCACCCAGCCCAGCGTCTACACCAGGATCATGCCGAGAGGTCACTGGGCCCCTACTTGTGGCAAACGTATCACCATCCTATTACCCGCCCCCTCCTTTTCTCCGTGTTCTGGGATCATCAACATGGTTTCTGTTGTTTCCCTGTGGGTCATTTAACGGCGTGGAACCAGTGCCCCATTTTACGGGACAGGGGGCTGTCTACAGTGACTAGCTCCTTACGCGGTGAGTTACCAAAGAAAGAGACCGAGTTGAGCCCAGGGCTAGGGGCACGATGGCCTGTCAATGTGTTTGCTCACCTAGAACCTGCTTGTGGCCTCTGTGAGGACAATGTCCTCACCCCCCCACACCCCCTCAGCCACGCTCAGGTGCCACCTGGCTGGGCTGGTTTGAAGGGGACCCCCTCGATGACCTGGACCACCTGTACTACACTTGTAGATGACATTGCGCTGAAAATACTTTTTTCCCCCCAAGATTTTATTTTATTTATTTATTTATTTATTTATTTATTTATTTATTTAACAGATATCACAAGTAGGCAGACAGGCAAAGAGAGAGGGGGAAGCAGGCTCCGCGATGAGCAGAGAGCCTGATGTGGGGCTCGATACCAGGACCCTGGGATCATGACCTGAGCCGACGGCAGAGGCTTAAGCCACTGAGCCACCCAGGCGCCCCTCACTGAAAATACTCTTTGCTGAGCACCTGCTGCCTCTGTTCAGTGTACTGGAGGCCTCCTGGTGACCACAGCCGGGGTTCTTCGAACCCCGTGGTTGGATTGCCTATGGTTGGGAGCTGGGATTGTTCCCTGTTGCCCTGGCAGTGGCTGGTCCCCGCATCTGATACTGTCTAAAGGCTGCACAGAGCTGGGCTCTGTGGGTCCTGAGCTCCTGGCTGGGGTGCCGGCTCCGCCCACTTAGCCTTTGGGATGCCAGGCGTTGCCAAGTTTTACGGGTGACATTGCATCATACCAGCTGCCTTTTTCCCAGGGGCTGGGGCATCCCAGGCTGAGAGTCCAGCCCAGCTGTGCCAGGGGCTTGACCCTCACTTATTGCTCAAGTTCCTTTGATAACAGGGAGGATGGGTCTCGGGCTCCTCTGGCTGGGCAGGGCTTGGGGTTGCCCAGGGGACTTAAAAGCAGGACCCCCAGCGTGGTTGTCCCATATCATTCTGACGACAACAACATGGCCTTTCTCTGGCTTCTGCTTTTCCCTGTGGGAGCTGCCTTTGGTTGTGAGTGTTGGGACCCCAGGTGTGGACCTACCAGACCTGGAGCAGGTTGAGGAGGAGGGCCCGAGCCCTCAGTGCCAGCCCCAGAGAAGGAGCTCGAGGTGCCCTGTCCAGGGCGAGCCCTAGGACCTGGCCACAAGGGTGTTTGGAGCCCCCTTCCCTGTACCTGGGGGCCTCTCCCCAGAGGCTGCCGGGAACACCGGGGTCCTTCTGGGGCTCTCTGAGCCAGGAGGGTGCCAGGGCCCAGTCTGGGCCTCTGCTGAGTCCTACGGCCCCAGGCATGGCTCAGGCAGGGGTGCTGTGAGCAGAGCCGGGTGTGGTCACAGGAGACTCTCAGTGCCTCTCCTCGGATTTTCATCTGTTGTGCCAGGCACATGTGAAGTGTTTTACTTTCCACTAAAAAAGAAGAGGAAATGGTAAAAAGTACAAGAAATAATATGACAACCACGAGTATTACTTTCTTCTTAAAACATGAACTAGGGGCGACAGAGAGAAGGAACACAAGCAGGAAGTGTGGGAGAGGGAGAAACAGGCTTCCTGCTGAGCAGGGAGCCCGACGTGGGGCTCAATCCCAGGACGCTGGGATCATGACCTGAGCCAAAGGCAGACTGAGCCTCCCAGGCGCCCCACACTACGTCAATTTTAAAGCATGCCCGGGGCACCTGGCTTGGTGCATGCCGCCCTGGATCTCAGGGTGGAGAGTTCAAGCCCCATGCTGCGCGTAGAGTGTACTTTAAAAACAAAAGACAAAGTGCTTTTCCCTGCCCATGTTATGTTATAGATTTATCCCCACTGGTGTGGATACCCGTTCACTGTAAAGTGCAGCTGTGTAAATTCATCCCGGTTTAGTTCGAACGTCTTTGCTGTTACGGAGAAAGCGATTAGTATGCTGACATGTTTCGGCAAGAATCTGCTGTGTTGGGTGACCCAGGGGCAGCAGGGCAGGCGCTGGCCTGTGTTACCCGGCGGAGGGCTGCCTGTCCACGGGGGCTGCGGGAGCCCAATGTTGCTTGCACGGGTGCTGAGAATTCCCCCGGTCCTCACGGACGTTATGAAGGACACCTGTCTTTTCTCAGCGCCTGGGACAATTCAATCCCACGTTTTCTGTGTTCCCCGTGGGTCATTTGATGGGCAGAACCGAAGTCCTGTTTTCTTTAATAATTAAGAAATGTAAACTTGATGCATGAATAGTTCCTGAAATCTCTGGAAAAGAAAATTCAGCAGGGAGGAAGGCCCCATTTCCTACCTGCTTCGCCAAGGCAGGTGTCCGCGTTCCAGGGTCCCCTGCGCACTTGGGGTTAGCCAGTTTTAATTTCACTCTCCCACTCAACAGGTGAGTTTTGACCCGAGCGGTGAGCCTCGTTTACTCCCCGGCTTACTGAGGAAGCGAGCAATGGCGATTCCGCGACCCTCTGAGGGCTCACAGCAAGCAGGCTGGGCATCCAGCCCCGCAGTCTGATTTCTCAGCCTGTTTTCTGCTCCTTCATCAGGAAGGCCCCGGGGGCGCCTGGGTGGCTCAGTGGGTTAAAGCCTCTGCCTTCAGCTCAGGTCATGATCCCAGGGTTCTGGGATGGAGCCCTGCATGGGGCTCTCTGCTCAGTGGGGAGTCTGTTTCCCCCTCTCTCTCTGCCTGCCTCTCTGCCTGCTTGTGATGTGTCTGTCAAATAAATAAATAAAAAATCTTTAAAGGAAGGCCCTGGGCAGGGCAGCATGAGTGGGGCGAGCAGGCTGCATGGGGGACCATCGTGCCTACAGGTTGAAGAGTGCAGCAGCAGTCGGGTGGGGGTGGGAGGAGTGTGGTGTGGGGTCCTGCACCAGCCTGGAAGAAACCAGGAGTCCTGCAGATTGGCCCTGGGCCTCAGCCTTCTTCCCTCTCCTCCTGCCCCACCCCAGACTGCGGGGTCCCCGCCATCAAGCCTGTGCTGAGTGGCCTGTCCAAGATCGTCAATGGGGAGGACGCTGTCCCGGGCTCCTGGCCCTGGCAGGTGTCCCTGCAGGTGAGTGGGAGACACACTGCGGTATTAGCCAGGCCGGGGGCTGCCGGCATCCAGCCAGCACTGACCTCCCCGTCTTCCTCCAGGACAACACTGGCTTCCACTTCTGCGGGGGCTCCCTCATCAGCGAGGACTGGGTGGTCACTGCCGCCCACTGTGGGATCAGGTGAGGCCTAAGCAGGCTCAGGGCTCTGATTCTGCCTACATTTGGGAGTGAGGAGGGAGCAGGCCCACTCCCAGTCCTTAATTTCCATGTGATCGCCCTAGTACATCTCACCTGGTCGTGGCTGGGTAGTTTAATCAGCACTCACATGAGAACATCCAGGTCCTGAAGATTGCCAAGGTGTGCCCCAGCCGGGTGTGACTGGCCTGGGGGGCTCAGCTGAGGGGGTGGGGACAGGAGCAGGAAGGACAGGACACTTGGGCTGCTGGAGACACAGGAGCCCAGCGTGGATGGGGATGCCCTCTGAATTCTCATTGCGGGCTTCTGTGGGTCTGTTTCCTGCTCGGCGGCCTCCAAAAAAAGAGCTTATCTCCTTGCAACCTGAGGGCCAACGGACCTGAGGGCCTAATTTTGTTGTTTCGGCTCTGCCCTATAGGTTTTCAACAACCCCAAGTTCAACATGTTCACCATCAGCCATGACATTGCCCTGCTGAAGCTGGCCACGCCTGCCTGCTTCTCCCAGATGGTGTCCCCATATGCCTGCCTGAGGTGACAGACGAATTTCCCCCTGGTTTGCTGTGCGCCACCTCTGGCTGGGGAAGGACCAAGTACAATGGTGAGCACGACCCGTGTTTCCACCCAGGAAACGTGCATGCGCTTGGGAGTCTCGGGGGGCGGGGGGCATCCCTGTGGCTTTTCCTTTTTTTCTTGTCTAAATTGCAACACAGCTGTAAATCTTTCCATTTTCCTATTTAAAACCCTCTTAATGGAAAACCTACCAAACACGAAGAGAGATGAGCTTAGGGACGCCTGGGTGGCTCAGTGGGTTGGGCCCGGGTCACTATCCCGGGCTCCTGAGATTGAGACCTACGTTAGGCTCCCTGCTGAGCAGCGGGTCTGCTTCTCCCTCTGCCTGCTGTTCCCCCTGCTTTGCTGTCTCTCTCTCTCAAATAAATGGATAAAATCTTAAAAAAAAAAAAAAAAAAAGATGCGCTTAAGCACTCTGTCCTTGAAGACCAGCTTGAGGAGAAGCACGGAAGCACCGGCAAGCGTGGCCCCCTCCCTGCCATGCCCCACCTCCAGGCCCGACTTCTCTCCTGACTTGACGCCAGTGGCTGTGTGTGGCACTGTCCAGGGGGTCGGGGCAGGGGAGGGGCCCTGACCCTCCGGGCCTGCTGTGTCCCTCCAGCCTACAAGACCCCCGACAAGCTGCAACAGGCGGCCCTGCCCCTCCTGTCCAACGCCAACTGCACGAAGTTCTGGGGCAGCAAGATCACCGACGTGATGGCTTGCGCAGGCGCCAGCGGCGTGTCCTCCTGCTCGGTATGGCCCAGCTCTGCCACCCTGGTGCTGCCCCTCGGACCTCGCGCCGCTCCTGCTCAGCCCAGAGTGCAGGTCCTCTCTGCGCGTGTCTTGGCCCCCTCAATCAGGCCAGCTGCCCGGGCCCCAGCCCAGACTCACAGAAGCAGGGGCCTCTGCCCGAGGGCTCTCTCTGGCCTGGGTGTGCTGCGGGGCTCCCAGGGGCCATGGCATCCATGGCCCCCTCACGCCAGCCCCCAGGAGCTGGGAGTTTGTAGCCTGTTGCACAGGCACTGGCCAGGTCAGAGGGTTGGCCACCTGCCCCAGGCCCTCCGGGAGTTGGTGACAGAGCTGGGGCTGCCGTGGGGCCCACATTGAAGGGTCTCCTGCTCAGTCACTGTGCCCAGGCATGTCATTTCTCTGCACAGAACCTGGACTGGGGCAGGTCAGGGCACACTGGGGCCTTGGCACCCCACTTTGGAATTGGAAACTAGTCCTTTGTCCTCCTGCAGGGCAACTCTGGGGGCCCCCTGGTCTGCCAGAACGATGGAGTCTGGACCCTGGTGGGCGTCGTGTCCTGGGGCAGCAGCATCTGTTCCACCTCTGTTCCTGCCGTGTACACCCGTGTCACCGAGCTCATCCCTTGGGTTCAGGAAATACTTGCTGCCCACTGAGCCCGTGATTCCCGCTCTGCTGGCCCTGCGTGTCTCCAATAAAAGCATACGAAGGAAGCACGGAGTTCACCTCTGTCTCTGTATGGTCTAGGAGGCGTGGGGCTGAGTCTCTGTCACCTGCCCAGGTGGCCGTATCACCTTCTCTGTTCGCATTCCCGACTTCTTAGGGAAGCTCTGATTCTCCTCCTCCCTGCTCAGGACTCTACCATGGGCTCCAGCTGAGGTGCTACCTACTGGACCCAGCTTTACCCAAGGAGCTTTCTGGAAGGCAGTGATCCTTGGCTAGGCTATACAGCCCACATCCCTGAAAGGTGGGCCCTGGGACCCAGAGAGCCGGCCCATGAAGCCTTCTTCTGCGACCATGTGCTCCAGGCCCCTTCGCCTGCCTTTAGCTCCCACCGTACCCAGCGCCCTTGGCCCTTCCCTGCCTGGGATCCCGCGCCCGCGCAGGCTGGACACGCGTTATGCCTCCGTAGCTGGGGAGCTCTCCAGTCCAGCACCAGAGCTTGGCACTGCTGTCCTTTCAGCTCCCACCTTGTCCTCTGTTTCTGGGATTCAGCAGTTAAATCTAGAGGGTGGGTCAGACTCAGGTTCAATGCCATTGGCCCCGCTGTAGGGGGGAGCCAGCTTCCTTCATCAGAGCAGTCAGGACTGGCTGCCTCTCTTCTCGTTAGGTGAGCCAATCCGACGCTCACCACCTGGATTCGCTGGTTCGTCTGGGGCTTGTGCAATGGGGGCAGCTTAATTTTGACATGGATTTCTCCTCTGTTGTCTGGAATAGTTGCAGAGGGACGCCCCCACCTATCAGTTGCCCAGCAGCGCTGTTCCTAGAGCATGTGGAGGGGAAATGTTTACCAAGTTCTCCTTTGCGGGTTTTTTTGGTAACACTTATGTATTTGAGAGAGAGAGAGCATGTGCTCACTGGGGAGGGGCAGGGGAGAGGGAGAGAGAGACTTCAAGCAGACTCTGCACTGAGGGCAGAGCCCAATGTAGGGCTCTGTCTCATGATGCTGAGGTCATGACCTCAGCTGGAATCGAGAGTCAGCCGCCCCACAGACTGAGACACCCAGGTGCCTCCTTCACAGAGTTTTTAACACTTTTTCTCTCACTGATTTTCAGGATGTTTGTCCTCAATCATCCTCCAAAAGTGACCCAGCCCGTTACGTTTTTGTGTTCTAGAATTACGACATGCCTGCAGATTTCAGTGTATACAATGGTGGGGGCCCCTGGGGGACTCAGGCAGTTAAGTGTCCGGCTCTTGATTTCAGCTCGCATCATGGTCCCGGGGTCATGAGATCAAGCCCCGCATCGGGCTCCATGCTGACCTGGAGCTGCTTAAGATTCTCTCCCTCCCTCGCCCTTGGCCCCTCCCCAGCTCCTCTAAAAAATAAATAAATAAATAAACATTTAAATGTACACGAGGGTTTCGCTCCGTTGTAATTATTGTCCTTATTGAAGCTCAGACCGTGCTGCCTCGACCGGTGGGAGCTTCTCCCCTTGGCTTGGAGACGCGCTGACATCTGAAACAGGGTTTCAGGGTTTCCTCGTGGTCGGGGGTGCGAGATGCCCCCGGTCTGAGTCAGTTCTTTGTCTAAAACCTCCCTGGTTTCTTTTAGTTGTACTATTTCATTAACTCAATGCTACGGTTAATGGGTAGCTTTCTTTTTTTAAATTATTTATTTGCGAGAGAGAGAAAGAGCGTGGGAAGGGACAGAAAGAAAGAGGGAGAGACTCTCAAGCAGACTTCACACTGAACACGGAGCCCCACACGGGGCTCGATCTCACGACCCTGAGGTCATGACTTAAGCCGAAACCGAGAGTTGGATTTTTTAAGCAACTGAGCCACTCAGGTGCCCCTGGAGCAGCTTTCTTAATTTCCTTTTCAGAATGTTTGTTATAGGCACGGGGGTAAGGAACCTCAACTGATCTTCTTGTGTTTCTCCTGTATCATGCCACTTTCCTGAAGTTATTAACTTGAATCGCTCGCTTGTCGATTCTTTGGGCTTTTCTGTGTGTAGGATCATGTCAGGCGCAAATAGAGGTAGCTGTACTTTTTCCTTTCTCGTTTCGATGACTTTTATTAATTTTTTTTCCTCTTGTCTAATTTGTTCTGGCCATAATTTCCAATACAGTATTTGCTCGCAGTGGTGAGAGCAAACACCTTGTTTTTGTTCCCGATCTGAGCGGGAAAGCTTTCACTCCTTCGCCATTGGATGCAACGTTACCTGTGTGTCTTTTTCATAAATGCCCTTTAGCATCGAGCAGGTTCTTCTGTATTTTTTAGTTGTCTGTGTGCTTTTTATCATGAAAGCCTGTTGAATTTGATCAAAGGTTTTTTTCTGCGTCATTTGAGATCATCATTTGGGTTTTTCTTCCTTCTGTTAACACAGTGTGTTCCACTGGTCCATTTCTTATGTTCAACCACGCTCTCGAGCTTGGGATAAATCCCATTTGGCCACGGTGGGTAATCTTTTTAGTACCCGGTGGATTTGGTTTGCTAATGTTTTATGGAGGACTTTTGCTTCTATACTTATGAGTCATGCTGGTCATTTTTTGGTAACGTTTCATCTGGCTTTGGTATTGGGGTAACACTAGCCTCCCAGTTATTTTGTGCTTATTATTTGTTATTTTCTAACATCTTAGTTTGGCCCTGTGGCTCATTCATTTTCTGCCTTTCCCCTTTCCTAATATAAATATTTCAGACTTTAAATTTCCCTCAAAGCACTGCTTTCATTGCGGCCCATAAATTTTTATATATGTTGTCCTAAGTTTTTCTACCTCTGTTATCATTTCTTCAACTTATGAGTTATGTGGCAGTGTGTTCTCTCCTGGTCCAGTGACTTTTTTTTTTTTTTAAAGATTTTATTTATTTATTTGACAGAGAGAGATCACAAGTAGACAGAGAGGCAGGCAGAGAGAGAGGGAAGCAGGCTCCCTGCTGAGCAGAGAGCCCGATGCAGGACTCGATCCCAGGACCCTGAGATCATGACCCGAGCCGAAGGCAGCGGCTTAACCCACTGAGCCACCCAGGCGCCCTCCAGTGACCTTTTTATCAAAGAATGACGTAATACAAGAAAAAGCACAAACCGTGGGTAGTTTGGTGAACTTTTTTTTTTTTTAAATTTCAATTACAATCCACCCCTCCACATGGGGCTCAAACACGCGACCCCAAGATCGAGGGCCATGCGCTGCTCCCACTGAGCCAGCCCGGTGCCCCAGTTAGATGAATTGTCGTGAGCGCACAGCCACACAGCAAGCTGACCCGGGAATAGCAGCGAGACCGGGTCGCCCCCTCGGTCTCGGTGCTCCTGTAGCACCGGCAGAGCCATTCTGAGACCTCAGTGCCATGGCCTGGCTCTGCCCCTTTGGAACTTTATACAAGTGGGATCGTAGAGCTGCACCCTTGAGTTTTTCCATCCTAAGGTTTTTTAAAATCTTTGCTTCAGTCAGAGGAATCTCTACAGTTCCTTCTCCCAGAGAGTTGTATCTGTTTCTGTTTTTTTCTTCATCTCGTTTTCTGGCACCCCTGTTTTCTAGGCACTGGCATTTCCCTTTTTAATCCTCCCTATTTCCTTTCATTTCCTGCTGCTTCCAAGAGAGTTTCTTAACCTACCATCTAACCCATCAATTTCTTTTTTTTTTTTTAATTAAGATTTTATTTATTTAAAGTGTGCAGCGGGCAGGGCAGTTGGGGAGGGGCAAAGAGTGGAGGGAGAGAGAGAATCTTAAGCAGGCTCCATGCCCAGCAAGGAGCCCAATGCAGAGCTCCTTCCCACGACTCTGAGATCATGATCTGAGCCAAAATCAAGAGTCAGATGCGTAAGCAACTGAGCCACCCAGGCACCCCACAATTTCTCAACTGTCTTACTTCTACTATTGAGTCTTTTGTTATGTTCTTTAGTTTAATCACTGTGGTTTTCATGTCTATCACTTCTACTTGGCTCCTTTTCTACTTTCTTGTTCTTTTCTTTTTTAACACTTTCTTTAAAAAAAATTTTTTTAAAAGATTTTATTAATCTAATTGGCAGAGAGAGAGAGAGCATGAGCAGGGGGAGGTTTGAAAAGCAGGCTCCCAGGGGTGCCTGGGTGGCTCAGTGGATTAAAGCCTCTGCCTTCAGCTCGGGTCATGGTCTCAGGGTCCTGGGATCGAGCCCCATATCGGGCTCTCTGCTCAGCGGGGAACCTGCTTCCTCCTCTCTCTCTCTACCTGCCTCTCTGCCTACTTGTAATCTCTGTCTATCAAATAAATAAATAAAAATCTTAAAAAAAAGAAGGAAAAGCAGGCTCCTCACTGAACAAGGAGCCTGATGAGGGACTCGATCCCAGGACCCTGGAATCATGACCTGAGCTGAAGGTCACACCTAAACGACTGAGGCACCCAGGTGTCTCCTAGTTTCTTGTTCTAATTCGATACTGCTGGCAAATTATCTTACTTTGTATGGTGTTTATGCCTATTTTAAGTCTTGGTCTGTTTTTTCCCCCTCATGTCTGTTTCCAGTGGAATCTGTAGTTTTCCATTTGAAGGAGCTGATGTCCTCAGAATGCTCATTATTTTGGCATATGGGGCATGGAGTACTGGGTCGCACAACACACAGGGAGAGAGGCCAAAGCTGCTGGTGGGTGTCAGTCCCTTGAGATCAGGACCCAGAAGTACACAGCCACAGTTCGTCACTGCCTTTTCCACCAGGAGACTGCTCTGGGCTGCACTCGTGCTCTGTCTCTGTCTCCAAGGAAAAGCAGCACCCAGAGGCAGTTGGGAGGGATGGGTGGGGGCAGGGAGGTGGTCTCTCTGACCACCTCGGCTCCTCACCGGCACTGTTTCTGCATGACCCATTTATCCAAGGACATCTGCACTAGCCGGCATAGGCGGGCCTGGGGCAGGTAGACAATGCACTTTTTGTTTTTTTTTTGTTTTAAGATTTTATTTATTTATTTGACACAGAGAGATCACAAGAAGGCAGAGAGGCAGTCAGAGAGACAGGGAAAAGCAGGCTCCGTGC